GTGACCCTAGTCCGGGCGAGGGAAACGGGACTTTGATGTATAACTTTTTTGTCTATAAAACAAAAGTATTAATCTTAAAGCTTAAGAAAATGTCTGGGAAATGTTTTAAAAACATTTGAAATCACTGCTCAGTGCTGTTACCCTTGGTAATCAATGCTGTAACTGTTTAGTGTTCAAAATAGAACTAAACTAATCTTCCCTCTTGCTGGGTCCAAAGTTAATTTTTTTTTCTAATCCTAGTAATATCAGCATGACTATAGTTTACTATCAATATTACAGAATAGAAATTCTTCAGATTCATATTCAGTCAGATCACTGATCATCCAGACCCTGAATATAAAGTGCTTCTCGAAATGTGCGTTTCTGCATAGTAATATTAATCATTTCATTGTTTTTCATGATAAGTTTATAATACTTCGGTAAAATGTTTCTTCTTTTGAAGATATGTCTTCACCTTGCAATTCTTACTTTTGAGTGAAATAATCATGTCATAAATGTTTATAATTTACTATGAAGCAAGCAGATGGTAGGAAGTGTGACAATAGATGATGGTACCGTCAAACGATTTACTACTGGCAGACTTTCTGACTACATACATTTTTTCCATCGTGTGGACATCGTGTCCTATTATTTTATTTTTTGGGACGTATTTGTTTTTTACTTTAATAATAATTTACTTGCAGGATGATAAAATAACCTAAAACATAAATGTAAAAAGTAGCAGTTATAATGTGATTATGTGACAGGTCTGCCGTGCCCTGGCTCCATGATGGCAGTAAGCGATGCCATCAGTCCTGCAGAGCAGGTGACATCAGAAACTGAAGCATTTCTGCCAGTGCCACGCTTCTCCGGCTGCTGTCTCACTCCAGATCTCTCTCTCTCTCGCTCGCTTCCAGAGACGCTCCTGGACGACTTCCTGCTGACCTACCTGGTGTTCATGTCCACGAGCGACCTGTGTCAGGCGCTGTTGGGACAATATCCTTCCTGAGTCTGCTGGTGCTTTCGCTGCGACGTTTCTTCACGGCTGACAGGATTGCCTGTAGCCAGACATTCGATATTTCAGTCTTAGTGTTATTCAGCAGAGACTGGGTGTCTGGGACACGCAGCCTTTCATAGACAAAGGAATACATTACAAAGAAATACCAGAATAATACTCCTGCTTCATAGCTACAACTAAACTATTTTACAGTATATATGTTATGGATTAAAAAAAACAAGCAGTTGGCTCTGTGGTGTTTCATGTATTTATTCTTCAGTATTAATACCCAGGGACCTTCTGGAATGTTCCCCTGGCTTCTTAAATGGTTTCATGTCAATTTTCTGCCCTCGCAGTTATAATCATCTCTTTGAATATGAAATCCTGGTTTACCGCACGTGATTTGACAGCAATTAATAAGCTCCCTGCCGGCTATTTCATCTTCTATGGTGGCAGCTCCTGTTGTAAAAGCAGCCATTGTCATGTGCATTTTGCTTGACGTTGCTGTGGGAGGTCAGGGCGTGTCGCTGTATCGTATAAAAGCTCACGGTGCACGCATACTGAGGGGCGGAGGGGCTCAGTGTGTCATCAGACCTTTCTTCCTGACTGTAAGGAAGGGAGGGGCGCAGCACATCTGGATTATGACTACCCTTAACTCCTCATCCTCACCTATTGTGCAAAGAGATACAGAGGGAAGGAGGCGGGGTGCAGGAAGGAGGGGGGGAAGGAGGCTCTGCACAGGAAACGCAAAGTCCTGCACCTGGTGTCCCAGTGGAGCTCACTGTACAGGGACTTCCTGCGCGAGGAGGAGCACGTCAAGCTCTTCATGAAGGTAGGGTGCGGGGCAGGTGGGACAGACCCAGTGAAAGGGGGGCGGGCGTGTTTGTGGAGTTGCAGAGGAACCTCCAAAGAAACTCCCATTCTTTACTGCACTAGTACTGTAAACAGCTGTGCATTCTCATTGCCCAGATGTTGTATTCACTGCAGTATGGTGTGCAGTGTAGTTTCATATAATTTGGAGTATTTTGTACTTTATATATTTTGGAGTTGTGTAGTCTCTTTGACAGAGTTGGGTAATTCAGGTCCAGAGAGTAAAAGTCCAGACAGGGATTTTGTTTCAACCAACCAGTTGAGCATAAAGAGTCACAGTGTAATCAACTGGTTGGTTGAGTCAAAATCCCAGTCGGGACTTTTACTCTCTGGACCTGAATTACCCAACTCTGCTCTCTGATATGTCATTCTTTTTACCTCCAATTGACAAAGTTCTTTGAACTGAACTGAAATTCTACTGAAGTAGATGAACCAATATGTCTGAAGTATTTTATGAATAGGGCTTATTTTCCCATAGACCCTATATCGATACGTCTTGGATGACCTCTATGAGTACCCCGCCCTGGAGAAGGATTTCAAAGAATTCCAGAAGCTTCTTTGCATGAGCCGCAGGCAGTGAGTGGCCTTTCCTATTTCTGTTGCTGGGAGCTTCATGTGCATCAACTTTGATGCTGTATCTGACCACCATTCATCCTTAAAATTTGTGTATCTGGCGGAAGATCTACAGGTCAATGCAAATCTTAAGTGTGGGGTGGCATTGTCCAGCAGGGAAAGGCATGTATACAAACACATGGGGGCTACATTTGCATTCCCTTTAAAATGTGAAAAGGCAAATAGATGTTGCGGTTATTCAGTGGATCGCTCAGGTCCAGAAATGAAAAATCCAGGCAAGATTTTGCTTCCGTCAGCCAGCTGAGTGTTATGACTTTGACTCTTTATGCTCAACTGGTTGGTTGAAAGAAACTCTTGGTCTGGTTTTTTACTCTCTGGACCTGAACTATCCAGCTCTGCAGTTATTTCCTGTTTATGTGTATATTCATATAGACAGTTCCAGTAACCATGAACGAAGGTGATGCATAAAGTTCACTGTTCAGATAATGTTATCTGTCCATGATGAAATTAACTGATTTATTCAAACTGTTTTATGAACCAAGGAGATATGATGCCAAGGTTAATAAATATGGCTAAAAATATGAATATGAAGCTAACATGTATAGTGTTGTAGCATGGGGGGGGGGGGGTTAAATTCCAGGACAAAGTGTCCATATCCCTCTGAATGATGAGTCTTGTCCGTTCTTGTGCATCAGCAAGCTTTATAATGTGGTGTCATCAGCATAATACTGTACAGTTAGTGCTATGAGAAATTCATTGGATCACAAAGCCGTGTTAAGGAACCGCTAAGACGTTGTTTAAATGACACATAATAAAAACAGGCCCGGTATGTGTCCCTGGGCGGGTGTACAGTCAGAGCTGCACGCTGATGTGAAGGTCGAACCAGCTCCCACACGCAGGGGCCTGTAGGGAATGGATCTTGGGGGCAGGACCGAGGACCCAGGTGTGCAGGGACAGCCAGTCCTCACAGAGGACGGACAGGTGGACCTCAGCTCGGGAAAATCACCACTTCTGAAGAGTTTCGGAAATTTATAAGCATTTCTCATTTTTAGTGCCCTTTGAGTTTGTGATTAAGCTCATACATGATCATAAATTAAAATTATGAAAAAATGTTTTGAAAAACAGAGATCTGTAATGAATGGGAAAATGTGTCTCGTTCTTTGATTTCTCTCTTTAATAATGCCAAGAGAATTGAAAAGTTTTATGCCATGTACTGGCATAGTCTTGCATTGAGGATGGAAGATCCACCCGCCCATTTCCTGTTATTGCTGATTGGAACTTTTGTGCGATTGGTTGAGACGGAAATGACATCATTATTCCCCATGGAGGAAGCCAGCCTCAATGCATACATGTCCTCCCTGCAGGGGTGATGACATCATATAACGCAGAATTCAAGTTTGCTGTGCTATAAATAATTTAGTTTATTCGCTCTTATAAATGGTTGCATTGCATCGCTACTCATGATTGTAATCTGGCTGCCTTTTCATTCCACAGCACAGTGGATGAATACTCGCCGCACAGAAAGGTAACACTAAATTCTCTTTTGCTGTCAGATTTCCTAGTGCTCAGTATTGTTATGGAGAGTGAGTTAAACCTACATACTGTAAATCCATGTTCTTTCCCTTTGCACCTGCATAACTGGGTATTTTACGGTACATTCCAATCCACACCTGGTACTGACCACTGCTGACATTTTTTGTAAGAGTTTGATGTACTTGGTTTTATGCTTGTGTGACACTTTTGGTTTCGGCACATGTCAGATTCCTTTTCCAGAGTAATACATGTCAGTTTGTGAACATTGCCAGAATACAGAAGTTAAATGACTGAACAGTATACAGGCATTCGTACTTTTCTCCTTGCAGAATAAAGCCCTCTTTCATCAGTTGAGTTTGAAAGAGAACCTGCTCCAGTCAAGAGGAACACAAAGAGAGAAAGAAGGTCAGCAGAAAACATGGGCTGTTACCTTAGGGCACGTCTTTTATGAAGTATAGGGTAACTATTCTGAAAATTAGAGGCTGGAGACATGTTTTAGATAGTATATGGTAATTATCGGATTAAATTAAAGGCTGAGGACATATTTTAGATAGTATATGGTAATTATTAGGTAAAATTAAAGGGCCATATGAAAGAGTTTGTTTCTTTTCTTGGGATTCTGATTTTATATTTATGCTGACATTAAATTATTTATATTTTCACGTTGGAATGTACATATTTCAGTTTAGCTTTACTTAAATCCTGCCTCAGCAGAGGTGGTATTTCAGAATCTGTGAATTCCCAGGATTCCATTGTGTGTGTTAAGTGTAGCAGCCCCCCCCGCAGAATTTGCCCTTCACAGTTCAGGGTAGCTGAGTGCGATTTTTCACCACACAATAGGTGAGTGACGCGGCCTAATCATCTGGAGAGTCAGGGGCCTTGAATCTAGCCAGACAGCTGTACTGGCGTGTTAGCAGCAAAAATCACACCACGAGGCTTATTTCAGCTGTGTGGCTTTGGGCTTTACAAACGTGATGCTGAATGGGAGGCCCAGGTGCCTCGTAGTGGAATACATTCCATTGCATGGCTGACCTGGTCTAGCTGTTGGTTCACATCGATTGCGGTATTTGGATGAGACGATGAACTCTGGAGCTGTAGCTGCACTTAGCTGTGCGCTAAATTCCTAATGCAGAAATGTGGCCAGTTGTAGTTTGAGGAACGGAATTGACCAAATCGAGCCTCCATTACCCCGCTTGCCCCTCGTCAGTGTTCTGCCATGTCTACGTGACTGCGGACTCCTACCTGAGCATCAAGACCTACACAGCGGTGGAGGCCCAGGAGCTACTCAGCATCACAGCTGGGAGGATGGAGTGCACAGAGGACGGCCTGCTGTTGGCAGCAGAGACCTGTGCTGGAGGTAATTGCCCCGCTACCGTTTCATGTGAGGGTCGGAGAATAAGGTATCTTTTTCACAGAGGATTAGTCATGAAAGCCATGTTGTGCTTAATGCTTTGTCACAGATCATATGTCATTTATCAAACAAGTTCATCAACAGCGGTCATCATAAACACCTGGTGCTGATGGACACCACCTATAAAATAATTTGCAACGCTTTGCATAAACTGCACCTTCATAATGTCTTTATAATGCATTCTCAGAACATAAAGTACACCTTTATAATGCATCCATAGAACATTCATAAGCTGTATGTATGTGTACCTTAACATCCTAGCAAATCTTACTAGCATTAAATACGCATTAATAACAAGTATTATATGATAACCCACAATTGATTATTCTATGAATTCAACTATAATGTTATGATGTTAAGGTACATACATGCTGCTTATGAATGTTCTATGAATGCATTATGAAGGTGCACTGAATGTTCTGTGAATGCATAATGAACAATGAAGGTGCTGTTAATATAACCCGTGACTAATTATAACATGAAATTCACTTCCTTCTGCAAAACTGTCCTTGTGCTTTGGAGCTGGAACTGGGGGATAGATGAATGCATGGACATGTTATAAATATTTTAATCTTAGGGTTTAAGTACTAGAGTGTGCGCATATGATTTGCTCAGAGAATAAGGTTGCACCGCATGACCTGAGGATGGGAAGAAGTAATAAGGACTTTAAGTAGGTACAGGAGATTTCAGCCATTTTGGTGTCACCTGAGAAACCAGTCACAGACTTCACAGGGTGTCTCGGCCTGTGTGGGGTTTCCAGGCCTAAGAGAATGTCAGGCTCAGACCTGTAGCACTGCTGCTAAGTCACTGGCCACACAGCTGAATGGATGTACTCATCACCTGAAGTTTCCCTGGATGATGGTCACACTTTATCAGGTTGCCTGTCAATGTCACCCTCTCCTCTGCTTTGCCACACGCCCTCTGAGCTAGCCATGGGTATATTGAAATGAACAGCTGGTGCCTGCATTCATCTAGGAAATCAAACTATGAAATAAAATGGCAGAGCCTTAGAATGTCTGCCATAATCATATTAATGCACTCTGCTCTTTGTTTGACGTGTACCCCGTCTCAAAGACTTGGCTCGGATTCACAACAGCCCATAATTGGATAAGCAGTTATTGCGTAAGGACGGCCTGTATGAGTGGCAGACTAACTCAGTGACTGAACAACCTGACCAATTACCTGAAAGGAGGGGGAAAAAATCTGTTTTGCCTTTCCTGTGTTTTTGTTTCTCTTTGTAGAAAGGCTCATTCTTCAGCCCCATGACAGTGTTTATTCAGAGTCCCGATCCATACAAGGGAGACTACTCATCTGCAGGAAGGATCTAAGCCAAATAATGGTATCACTCAATATCTAATGGAAGTTTATGCCTTTCATATAGTACAAGGAGCACTGTATGCTTTCTAGTCATTGCCATAAAGCATTAACCTGTTTTCTAGCTGTTGACACAAACTTTTGCCTTCAGGAGATCTGTTCTCCTTTGTCCTGCCTCTCGTTCTCTAATTCTCTATTACCCTGATTTCCCAGTTTACTTTCATGATGTAAAATATGTCAGGCACTGTCTAAATATAAGTAGGGACCCATTTTTCAAAGCTGAATTTTTAATAACTGAAGTCGGAGGCTTATTTGTGAGCAGCCTCAGTGTGACAGCGGTTTTGGCTTTGATCGGGTTGGACGGCCAGGTGTAGAAGACATACTTTCATATCAGCTCTACCTTCACTTTAAAAGATGCTGTGAAAATATTTATAAGAACACCTAACACTTATAGCCTAGGTACAAGTTTAGCAAGTCAGTTTTCTATTGCTTTTAGTGTATTTATCAAAGAGAACAATGATGATTGTTTTACGTGGCTTTTCTCGCTCCTCATCTCTTCCTTGTTTTGCACCGCCCATCGTCAGAATCCCTTCACTGACAACGCGGATCTCCACCAGAGGCCTGTCCGCCTGCTTGGCATGAACACATGGGATGTTGCTGTTTCCCTCACTAATTTTGACTGGAGCCTCTTCACATCCGTGCGTGAGGTAATCCTATGAATGGCAGTGTCACAACCCGCTTGGATCACTTGGCCCGCAGGTTTATTACCGGGCTTTTAGTGGTACGTTTGTGCTCCATTCGGACTCTGGTGTGCCCCCAACTGCAGCAGGAGCCCATTTACTACACGATCAGCCGGCAGGGGAGCAGCGGCCGCACGGCTGCGCTGGAGATGCTGCTGCAACGCTGCAACGAGGTGCAGCTATGGGTGATGACCGAGGTGCTGCTCTGCACCAACCCTGGCAAGCGGGTCCAGCTGCTTAAAAAGTTCATCAAAATTGCAGCCCAGTAAGAGACTCTTTCTATCTTAACTATTGTCAATAATGGCATAATTATGCTATAAACCAAATATGGAGGCACGTTTCTCATTGCTTAAGGCCGTATCTTTAATTATTGTCCTACAAATGGTAGACTATTATAATAGTCATTAAAATAATGAACATGTAATTGGACAGAAGACAGAGGAATGCTGTTATCAACAGGAGTCACCACTGAATTGATAGCACCTAATAATTATTACATTAGTGATGGTTTGGCTCTTTTTTTGCATAAATCACAGCAGATTTCACTGGCACTCTTTGACAGATCTGTGCTGTAATTCTGGTGGCCTTACCAACCATACTCTTCTACAGTGGGATTGGTCTATAGCACTTGAAACCTTAAGCTGGGATAGCAGGCAGCCGCATGTGTTGGTATCCTTGTTGGAATCCACTAAGCAATAAAGTCGTAGCAGATGTAGGGGGGGGGGGGCACCATACTCCTCATCATGTGTGGTTAGTGCCATATGGCCAGTGTAGTTGCAAGGGGCCATACCATTCCATCTGTTCCCCTTAAGCGCTGTGCTGGAGTAATCTGTCACCCAAATGACTAGTGAAGCCCCTCAGGCTCGTGCTGTGACTTTAACATGCCATCATTTGTGCTCTTCGGTTCATGCTCCTTTTCATTGGGTCTCTTTCATCCTTAAAGAAGGGAGGGGGGGCTTTGAGTCATGTATCTTTTGACCATTGATAATCGGGGGTATTTAACCCTTTCCCGACACAGAAGTGTTTTCAAAGGTAGTTTTCAAAGATTGTTATGATATGAATGTGTTATGGTGCGTATTGGTTATAGAATCTGCCCTTGAAGAGTCCCGATTTTCTCTCCCCGCAGCTGCAAAGCACAAAGAAACCTGAACTCTTTCTTCGCCATCATCATGGGCCTCAACACAGCAGCGGTCAGTCGACTGAGTTTGACTTGGGAGGTAAAGAGGCATCGCTGTCGTAGCCAAAGGACGCCGCCAAGAATGGCGCATGTACTGTGAAGGTCTTACTGGTACCGCTGGCAGAATTAAAAGACAGGTTTTCTTCATTTCCCTCCTTCCTTTTTCCCTCAAGAAAGTTCCGTGCAAATTCAGGAAGCTGTTTTCAGAACTGGAAATGCTGACGGTAGGTAATCCAGGCTTCTCACTGGTTCATCTCTTACAAAACACACTTGTTTTTTGAGAGGGTGTCATAATTTGTGTTTTAAGATGATAAATCCTACATCTTCTTGCAAGACCTTGTTAAGATGTGGATAGTTCTCGGGGTATGTATATTTATAGGAAGAACCAAGCCCTCACTGCTCGTGCCTCTCTCCAGGACCCATCCCTCAACCACAAAGTCTACAGGGATATATTCAAGAAGATGAAGCCCCCCAAGATCCCCTTCATGCCTCTTCTTCTCAAGGGTAATGTCTCGGAATGATGCCAACCATGAAGGACAATGCTGCAAACAACAGACTGTGTTACAGAAGCCATCTGCTTGTTTCCGATTCATAAGTGGCAGAGGCCTGTTAGAATATGGACTGGCTTACTAAATGCAAGACTGGTTGTGTCTGGTTGGTAAAGTGTTATTTATGCCTTAAAAATTATTCATTGCAATCTTTCTTTCATAGATATCACCTTTATTCATGAGGGCAACAAAACGTTCCTTGATAACTTGGTTAATTTTGAAAAACTGGTGAGTAAATGATGGGCGTCAGATGTGGGGGGCATGGGTATCCCCTTGGGGGGGGGGGGGTGGAGTCAGCTTTTGACCTTTACTGTGACCTTAGTTTCGACCTAAGTAGACCTCAGTTTTAGCTCCCTGCACAGACTTTGCTCCCGATCCTGGTTCTCAACCCAGACCACGGGGACCCTTAGACATTTCCATTCCCTTCCAGCATCCAGCACCCCTGCAGCAGGTGTTCAGTGTTCTTGATTGTTTGGTTTGTTCTTGATTGTTTGGTTTGTTCTTGATTGTTTGGTTTGTTCTTGATTGTTTGCTTCAGGTGTTGGGAGCTGGGAGGGAGAGAAATGTGGATTTTGTGGGAGTCCCAAAGAACTGGGCTGAGAAACACTGTAGCACATTGCAGCCCTTCCCAATTCCCATTTCATTTCTGTGCTTACTTCCATTCTGCTTTTTCTTTTTCTTCTCTGGGCCAAGTTGAATAAATCTGTAACCACAAGTAGTCTATACTGTGTCCACCCAGCCCCACATCGTGTGGTTCTGTTCTCCACCTGGGCTAAAGCAAGTCTTGCAAGAAATCAGAAAATTTTTGCTTATTCTTGAGAGATCAAGTTGCTCTGCTAGCCATGTGATCACAACACAAATGGCGTCATGGACATAACAGCGTCTCTGATCTTCTTCCAGCACATGATTGCAGATGCCGTCCGTCTTATCCGACACTGTCAGATGGACCACACGGGTCAGTACTCATTGCATTTTGGATCGGAAAATAACAGAAACTAACATGTGGCTAATACTTTCAGGTGGAAAAAATTTACTGTTTATATTGCATATATATGCCTCTATATGTATATGCTGTGATTTCAGCATGTAGTTTTAGAATTTGTGAGCTACAAATCACAGGGAGCATCATCCCAGTGCCCTCATAATGAAATGCTGTAAAGAAACAGCATGGAGCAAAGCACTGCAGCTACCTCAACGAGGGCTTCTTCTTTATGAGCACTAATGCAATCACAGCTGTATAGCGTAGCACTTAGCATAATCACACCCAAAAGCCACTTGTTTCAATCCTAGCATTGAGGCAATGCATTATGAACAAGGCTGCAGCAACAATGGAAATCAGACTTTATCAGACTGATGAATTGCCCATGTCCCCTGTAAGTGGAAGTACCCACCAAATGTGTACGTTTTGGGTAGCCATTGGTTACTTTGCTGGCAATGTATGCTAAAAGTGGTATGTGCTTCCGTTCTTTTAGGAAATGAAGTGTCCCCAAAGGATAATGCAGAAACAAGAAGCTATATTAATTACCTTCACATCATCGACAATCAGCAGACTCTTTTCGACCTGTCCCACAGATTAGAGCCCCGGATGTAGGGGTGAGAATCGCCATAACTCCGCATGCATTGATACAGAAGTCATGGAAGTGGATCGAAGCAAAAAAAAAAAAAAAACGGACCACCTGCGAGATCGTATGTACACAAATGCTAACTTGGGTTCAGACCACTAGGGGGAGACAGAGCCCATAGTGACAGAGAACCTGAGCAAAACAAAGGACACCCAGGACCCTTCCCTCCTGAGGGAAACATTAGGTATGAACATATAGGAATGTTTGTTAATCTGAAGAGAATAAAAGGGAAGCTACATCTTAAGAAACACAAATGCACTGAAATATCACTCAATGGTTCAAGACTTGAGAGATTTTAAAATGCAAAGAAAAACTTGTTTTTGCCAGTGACTATATGCACATACAGTTTGCTTTAATAAGCCATCCAGTGATGGTCTGGTGGTCATATAGCTCAGTAATGTGAGGAGCAGTATTATAGCATTTTAACAGTATTATCATTGTCATTGCCAGGATCAAGATGAGTCCCTTACCTACAACTCTGGTTTCCTGTCACTTTTTCCGTATATAAGCATTTAATGTTTATCAATGCAGCCGCAGCTGCAGCCTTTTGCAGCGTTTTGTCGCTGTATATTGCGATTCTGTGTTGGACTCCAAAAATAAGCAGCCATTAATCTTTGCTGAACTGTCAGAATGCACATAAACAGCCGATGTCTGGGGAACCCGCAGCCAATCCGCAGTACTCCATTTGTCCCAGGAACCTCACAGAAATTCAAATAGGGAATATAAGGGAAATGATCAGTTTGATAGACGACATTATGCTCTCTGGGCATCCGTGCGCTTCTCATATCTACCATGTATTATATGCACACATAATTGTTTACCATTTGTCAGTGCCAAATTTTTTTATTAATTCATCTGATAATATCTAACTTTGCATATTCGGCACATCATTATTTTGTAAAGCAGTCTAAGTCCTAATGGAATAAAAATGTAAAAACGTTAATACTATTACCAAAATCCATACTAAATTACCGAAGATTTGTTATTGACCTATTAATACTGTGCCATAGCTTTACAGCCTGAAAAACTGCATTTTATGTTTTTAATAGATCTTTTAAAAAGGGCACGGAAACGTAAGTAGGCCATCCACTGAGCTCTTCAACATTATAATGCAAAAGTGGGATTAACTTGGAGATGCGGGATGCTAACCTTACACAATCAGGACAGTGTGTTTGCGTAGTGCACCATATCTGTGGCCATTTCCACGGATCTTTTCACATCCCACAATTGAGGAAAGGAAGTTTGGGAAATGCTGATGTCATTTCCAGGTAAAATTTAAGGGAAAATCACAAAAATTTGTGTATTTGGACATTTTTGTTCAAAGGTGGTGCAGCAGAAGTCAATGGGCCTTGGTTTGGTGTGACACGTTACCGCTGGCAGATACTTTAACATACCTCCCTTAGAATGTTTCAGGACAGCTACTTTCAGCACATCTGTTGTAATTCTATAAGGGTTGTTTCAGTTACATTGTTTAAAGTTACACTTCTTACTGACACTGGTGCAAAGGTAAAAATAAAAAATCAAGGTCATGTACCTGGGATATTCTGAGAGCACTACTGTGTTTGAAAGCAAAATGTGAGTGTGCGATGCGTGTCCATTTGCCTGTCCACATGCACAAAAATGTGTGTGCGATGCGTGTCCATGTGCCTGTCCACATGCACAAAAATGTGTGTGCGATGCGTGTCCATGGGCCTGTCCACATGCACAAAAATGTTGTGATTTACTAAAAAAAAAAACAGCTTTCTAAAAATGTTGCAAACTACGAGGCAATATTACATATTTATTTGATGTTATTTATTTGTGTTTGAATGATGATCACTGTTTTTTTACTGACTGAATACATTGGCTCCCGATCGTACATTATTGTTAGATACTGACAATCGAGATGAACAGAGCCATTCAGGTTATTTGTGTGATTTTTTTGTAGATGGTGTGTTTGAAATGGTCAGTATGACATGGGCGGCTGACTCATAGACAGACCATTTGTACTCCTTTGCATGGATAGAAAATGCTTTGTAAAGATATTCTAACTGGAAATAAGCCCCCAAAGTCTGAAATTTGCCATTTATATTTAAAACTGTGGGGCAGAAAGCAGTGCATTCATACTGTAGCATGTGAGTTTTTGCTTTTGCATTTTCCCTCTGAATTGTATATATTTTAGCAGTATTTTGAAAATGTTATGAAAAATAAAGATTTTAGTAATGTATTGCATGGTTCTAGTTCCATTTTTTCAGTCTGTTCAGTTACTAGAGTAAAAACTACACACAGGCCTGTCTTCATCACTGTTTAGCGTATTACATTTATAGGTAACAGATAATTTGGGGAATGCCCGATAGGTTGTTTATTCTAGTATATGAAGGATAAACTATAATGTGTGTTCCACCATCCTGAATAGAATTTTTCTATAATCTGGATGGGGCAATCCACCCTTTTCCGTTTGAGGTTCTGATCATCAACCCAGACTGTTCACACTCAGCTGTAAACCGCCCCAGTGCAGGCTGCAGGTCACAGCCCTATGAAGCCAACAGGACCACATCATCTGCAAAAAGCAAAGACACGATCCTGAGGTCACCAGACCAGACCCCCTCTGCCTGTTGGCTACAGCCTAAACATTCTGTCCATAAAGGTTAAACAAGTAATGCAAAACACTGCTTTAAGAAGAGGGTATGTGCATGCTTAAGCACCATGGCACTCTACTTGCAGTGTGTAGTAGATACGTTATTTTACACTTCAAATATACAGCCAGGATAACCAAAGAAAATTCACTTTAACTTATTTTTAACTAGACCTCTTACTTACAGCTTTAAAAGCTCCAGTGGAACCTCCTGTCCACCATCTCTCAACTTGGTATCACTAGAGCTCAAATGCTTTGACCTATCAGACATTTTTTAAAGTGTCTTGAGCTACAGAATTGTTAAGTCACATCAGTTAACATACGGTGTACCCCAAGGCTTAGTCCTTGGTTCCTTCCTCTTTTCTCCATTTGTACAGGGACCTGATGTCCAGAAAACACATGTAGACTCGTGCAGTATCCTTGTGAGGGTAAAGAGTGTTCCACGGCCTCTGATGGCTGATGACTTTGATGTTTTTTACTTTCTCATGGACAACAAACTCCAATCTCTCTCCAATCTGGCTTCAAAGCTGGACACTCACATTGTACCTTCTCTCTGTAGTAACATTAAGAGCTGGATCTTGCCCATTTGTTCTCGTCCCGCTGTACCTTTCTGTGGCTCAGTGATCCATTCGGATCTCCACATAGCAGCTATGTCCTGGTCTTGTAGATTCACTCTGCATAATATCAGGAAGATCAGGTCTTATTTGTCAGCATACGCAGTTCAGCTTCTACGCCAGGCTCTTGTCATCTCACGACTAAATTACCGGAACTCTGTGAAGACAGGCCTATAAGCCTGTGCAATTAAACTGCTACAAAATATTCAAAATGGGGGAGCACATCTGGTATTCAATCTGCCAAAACGCTCTCATGTTACACCCCTCCACGTCCCTCTTCATTGGCTCCCTATACGCACTCGCATTACGTTCAATCCTGGGTGCTGGCACCCGTCTCTATCAAGTAACTCATCAAGTACTACGTTCTGTCCGCCCTTCTTCTTCAGCAAGCCAGTGCTGCCTGGAGATCCCCACGCTGTGTGAAAAGTCTCACATCGTTTGGTGAGCTTCCGTTGTGGCAGAGCAAGCTACCCATCCACACCCAGTCATCAGAGTCCTCCTCAACCTTGCAGAAATGACTCAAAATGCATCTTTTCCAGAAAACACCTCATCTAACCCTCCAACTACTGCCTGATGCTGAATTCTCAGCTGCACGTCTGTCTAGCTGACTCATGTACTGCTGTATGCTAGTAATGTACGCCATTCAACAACAGCGAAAGCTAATACATGTACAATATAACAGAAGTTTGCTTTCTGATCCATGTTAAAGTGCAATCTACTAACAATGTAGAAATATATACAGAGAAATGGATAATTTACATTATTATGTATGCCACATAATGTTGAAGTCCTTTCACATGAAAGTTCTCTTCCACACCTACATATGTGGGCAGTGGAGGCCCGATGGTTCAGGTTGCTTATTTTGTAATTAAAAGGTTGCTGATTCAAATCCCCAGCCAGCAAGGCACCACTGAGGTACCCTGAGCAAGGTGCCGCCCCTTGGGTGCTGAATTAGCTGCCCCCTGCTACTGTATGTCATGATGTCACATATGGGTTAAATGCAGAGGACACATTTTGTTGCTGTGGTCTGTCGACAATGACTAGTCACTGTGCAAAATCTTAGGTGGTCAAAGGAGATGTTTAAAGCTATTTATCTAAGCAGTAAGTGTATATGTGCGCAGAACAAAAAACAAGATTTAACATTAGAACATACAAAAATTTGCAGTGACACAACAAAAACTAACAAGAATTTCCTCCATTCTCCAAAAATTTACTGATAACTTGTTGGATGGCTAGATAAAGGCTGCTTCAGTTCCCAAACCTCTCCTCAGGGCCACAACAGCCATTACATGTATTTGTTACACTTCACCTCCAGCTCAATTAATTATTCAATTTAATTAGTTTAAGAAAGTGAGGTATTGATGTGATATATGACGTGGGGTACGGGTCGTCAAAAATTACATGGGCGTATTGGTTGGTTATTGTAAATACTGGGGTGATTTTAGGAGAGATTTTGAAGTGGCTAAGTTGACACAGTTTAGACTTTTGCATAGTACGGTATATAGAACAACACTGACATCTAGTGGATTTATACGTATTACGCTCCTCCTATTTAATTTGTAACAGTCTTAAATCCACTTTTGGGATAGTCGTTCAATTTAAAATGGCGGAAGAAGTCGTGTTATGGAACAGAGAACAGAATAACAGGTTTTTAGCGATAAGGTTTACCTTTCAGCATTTATGTGAACCAGAGAAGGGCATGGTTAACGAAACACAAAGGGCATGTAAATTTAAATATGACAGCCGCTTAGGGACGAAAGAATCGAACTGAGTGACGACGTGCGCCGTAAAATGATTAGAGACCGCTATAAATACCTTTCCGAGTTTGCTAGGGGCG